TTTATTTTAAAACTGGAATTTTGTAACTCTTAATCCCCTATACCTTTTTTTCCCCAATACCCCTGCCAACCAATAGTTTGCTACCTGTGAGTATGTTTTTGTTTCGTTTTAATTATAGTTTTTAATATTCCATATGTAAATGAAATAATATATTTGTCTTTCTCTGACTTACTTAACATAATATCCTCTAGGCCCATCCAAGTTGTTGCAAATGGCAAGATTTCATTATTTTTATTGCTAAATAATATTCTAGTGATTCCAGTGTGTGTGTGTGTGTGTGTGTGTGTGTGTGTGTGTGTGTGTGATCCATTGATCTATCGATGAACAGGTATGTTATTTTTATATCTCAGCTGTTGTAAATAATTCTGCAGTGAACACAGGGATGCATATAACTTTATGAATTAGTATTTTTTATTTCAGAGATGGAATTGCTGGATCATATGGTAGTTCTGTTTTTAATTATTTGAGAAACCTCCATACTCTTTTCTGTAGTGGCTGCACCAATTTATAATTTCACCAACAGTGCCCAAGCATTCCCTTTTCTCCACATCCTTGCTAACACTTGATACTTGTTGACTTTTTATAATAGCCATTCTGGCAGGTTTGAAATGATATCTCAGTCTGGATTTGATTTGCATTTCCATAATTATTAGCAGTGTTGAGCATCTATTCATGAGTCTCTTGGCTATCTGTGTATATCTTCTTCAGAAAAATGTCTATTCAGACCATTTGCCCAATTTTAAATTGGATTATTTGTGTATGTTTTTATTTTATTTTTATTTTTTGAGTATGCTTTTAATATTGAATTGTGTAAGTCCTATATATATTTTGGGTATTGACTCCTTATTGGATGAATCATTTGCAAATATCGTCTCCCATTTAGTAGATTGCCCTTTTCTTTTGTTGATGATTTTTCACTGTGCGAAAGCTTTTAGTTTGATGAAATCCCTTTAGTTTATTTTTCCTTTTGTTGCCTTTGCCTGCAGAGCCATATCCATGACAATATTGTTAAGACTGATGTTAAGTAATTACTGCCTATGTTTTCTTCTTGGAGTTTTATGGTTTCATGTCTTTAATCCATTTTGAGTTTATTTATGTATATAATGTAAGAAAGTGGTTTTGTTTATTTATTTTTGCATGTATCTGCCAATGTTCCTAACACTGTTTATTGATGAGACTGTCTTTTCTCCATTGTATATTCCTGACTCCTTTGTCATAGATTAATTGACCATACAAGCCTGGGTTTTGTTTCTGGCCTCTATTCTCTTCCATTGATCCATACGTCTGGTTTTTTCTTATTGTTTTATTTCTGTGTTTGTTTTTGTTTTGGCCAGTACCACACTGCATTACTATAGTTCTGTAGTATAGTTTGAAGTCTGTGAGTTTAATAACTCCAGCTTTGTTCTTCTTAAGATTGCTTTGACTGTTTGAGTTCATATAAGTTTAGGATATTGGTTCTGGTTCTATGAAAAATTCAGTTGGTATTTTGATAGGGATTGCATTGAATCTGAAGATTGCTTTGGGTAATATGGACATTTAAACAATATTAATTCTTCTGATCCATGAGCACAGTATATACTTATACTAACACTATACTCTTGAAAAGATAACCTTTGGAGACTCAGTTTCATAATCTATAAATTTAGGATAATAATATCCTTACCTCACAGAGTTGCTATGAAGATTAAAGTTTAAATAGATGTAAATTGCATAGAATTGCAATAGGGTTGGCATATATATAAACATTATCTGTTTTCATTGTCTTTAGCAAAATACACCAAAAATCAATTGACACACAATATAATCTCCTTCAAATGGCAGTAATTCAAAAACCTTTGATAGATGTTTAAGTTAGAGTTCTACTTTTAGATTTGAGCAGGAACTGAGACATATAGTCAGGCAGTCATAACATTGGATAGTCCACTTACCGATTGATCTAAGCCTTTGTACATCAGTTTCTTTGCTTATCCTACATAAAATAACCCAATAAGAAACTTTCACCCTAAATTCCCAAATTATAAATATTCTCTTAAGTGCTATTTTGAAATTTTCGTAATTATTGAAATTGATTAATAGCATACAATGAATCATTCATAGAAGCACTAAAAACTTCAGTAAAGGTGTCAGTCATTAACTCAATGCTTTATTGTTGTTGTTCCTTCTGTGAGAAAGAGTCAGAATTTACTGGAACTTTTAATTTTGTAAACAATTGCCCAACTTTTGGGTCTTATCATGTCAAAAGTAAACCTCTGCCAGTTGTAATTCACCATGTAAATTGAGAGGTTATTAAGGAGATCTAGTGCAATTGATGGCATTCCTGTTCACGACAAGGTCAGTGTCAATGCTGCCCAATAATCGAAACTGTTCCCTGTATGGCTGGTGGGTGGCAGCTGCCACTATTGTTATTTTTGTGTCTAGGGAAACTCAGAGAAGATGGGTAAGTGACTTCTTCAAGGTCACATTGGAAATCAGTGGCATTCCAAGGACTAGAACTAGAAATATACTTAGATCACTTCTTAAATAGTTTTAACTTTATTATGAGGATAGTGAATAATTGTTCATGATATATTGGTGTGCACTTCAAAATTATTTATTAGATCCAGGGTCATGCATTTATTATCTCTGAGGTAAAGACTATAAAAAAAGAGGCCCCAGTAGAATCTACCTACAGCTATTATTATTTCAAAGTTTAAAAACATTTATGAAAATGGAGATAATGATAGTGGTCATTATCTGTGGTCAAGATGCAGAAAATTCATTTTTATCGTCAAGCTAGTTTAATGTATTGATAGCTTATAATTTACTTAATGTGCTTGCATGCTATTAATTTCAAACATACGTGAGTTGTGTCTTCATTTGCATACCCTGCCATATGCCAGTAGCAGGAAAAGTTGCTCTTCTTGTAACATATCTCATAGGCCCCATTTCCCGAGGAAGGAAACTATGAACTATTTTTGGATCCTAAGGCAGAGTCTCTTGTATAAGCTCATCAATTAAAAACCTAGTCTCATAGTTTAATTCTTCAAATAAAATAAAAATGAAACAAAAGCAAATTTTAAGTGCTATGTAGGTAAATATATTTTGATAATTTTCTTACTGAATAGGAAATACTCAGTATACCAAGGAATTTAAAAGCAACTTTTAATCAGAAAGCCTTGTAGTTTATTTTCTTTAATAGGTTAAAATTTAAACATGGGTAATTAATCCTGAGTTTGGATAGATACCCTTTATAAATAACTATAGTAACTTTATAGTTATTTTAGATCCTGAGTTAGATTTATAATGAATAGAGAATAAATGTCAGATATTTTATATTAGTTTTTTAATTGTATTTTTGGTTGGATTTTTATTGACCATTCTTGTAAATTCTTCATTCATATATTGAAGCATTTTTTTATGTGTCCTGTACAGTATTGATTCAATAAAGTGTTCAGTATTCTGAACCTGGTATCCAGAATATTTCAAAGCCCTTTTGAAATGATCTCTGCTTATTTCCCCGCATATAGGTGTCCCATAGACTAGCATCTGGAAATCAATAGCCATAGTAGACATCACATATTCTGTGTGAATAATCAATAAATAAATTCCACTTACCTCTCATACCTATGGACTCATTCTACTATTACAATATTTATGGATTATTTTTTGAAAATTTCATTGCATCGATTGCCACATGGAATTCTCTGATACTGATATTCTCAAATTACTTTTCCTTCAAGTTTTTATTAACTTAACAAAAAGTTATAGGTCCCAGGTGCTAAGGTTGTGCATATGGTAGTTTAGGGACGCAGATGGTTTTCTACCTATCCCACATTTTAAATCGTAAGTGGATGATGCAAGTTGCATACTGTTCAATATACAACATATCCAAATAATTGATTCTATGCCAACACATTAAGTTTACTGTGCATGGGAGAATAGCATCTCAACAATCAGAATGTTAATTAGGGAGGGCTGTATTAATACTGGTAAACCCTGCTGATGACATTTTACTATTCTTCCAAAATAATTTGTATGTAAATATAAACCTGAATGTGCTTATGTGCACAAAATATACATACATTCTTATGATTTATATATATATATGTGCTTTTTAATATACATATTATTTATAAATGTATATTGCTAACTGTTTACCAATATATAGTCAGTATTTATGTAAGAATCTGACTATACATACATAGACATAATCTCATTTCAAGATAAATTTTGTTATATTTCTACTTTTTGAAGGATGAAGAGAGAGAAAGAGAGACAGAAAGAGAGATCAGAGAAACATTGATGTAAGAGAAAAACATCAATTGGTTGCCTCCCATATGTGCCCCAACCAGAGATTGAACCAGCAACCTGGGTATGTGCCATGAATGGGAATCGAACCAGCAACCTCTTAGTGTATGAGATGATGCATCAACTGAGCCCCCTGGCCAGGGCTATATGATTTTCAACTATGCAATGCATTACATAAGTTGGTATTAATTTAATTTTTTAATGTTAGATATTTGAGAAGTTTGACTTTTATATTAAGGAGTATATTTAAAAATGTCAGACACATAATTATACATTGTTATTCTCAAATTTAACGTAGTTCTAGAGCAAAAAATTATAATTCAATATCTTTTTTGTCTAAAAAATTAAACCTAGAAAGTTTTGATCCTATGACTTTCATAAAGAAAAGTATGCCATCCTGGCCTGGTAGCTCAGTTGGTTAGAGTATCGTCCTGATAGGCCAAGGCTGCTGGTTCGATTCCTGGTCAGGTGACAAAGAGGAATCAACCAGTGAAATGCATGAATGCATAAATAAGTGGAAAGACAAATTGATGTTTCTCTCTCTCTCTCCAATAAATTAAAATTTTAAAGAAGAATTCTGAACCAAAAAAGTACGTATGACATGTCTGTTTTTAAATGAACAAATTTAATGAACATCCTTTAATGACCAGTTCTTCCTGAAATCCTTTCTGACATAATGAAATAATTACAAATCTAATTACCATGTGTTTTAGGCTAAGATGACTCAGCTGCCTGAGGCAGAGAAGGAAAAGATTGCTGAGCAAGTTGCTGATTTCAAGAAAGTAAAGAGTAAGCTGGATGCTGAGATTGAAATATGGGATGATACAAGCAACGACATCATTGTTCTGGCCAAGAAGATGTGTATGATCATGATGGAGATGACAGACTTCACCAGGTAGTTATGTGGGAAATGATGTGCAGTACTTATAATGGTTTGAAATACCTGTCGCATTAGTAAAACCTCAAGGTTCTTTGAGTGTCAGGTGCTAAAATACAAGTGGCAGGGAAAAATTTAAATAATATACGATTAGAAAGTTGTAGGAGTGTCATTCTAGAGATGTTGGTAAACATGGCATTTTCTTATAAACTGTCAATGAATAATTTTAGAATCCACTTTATACTCTTACCTTAGGAATCTTCTCTATGTATCATATGAGCATATTACTTTTACAAAGAAATTGGTAAATCAAATTATGATCTCTGTCAGAGCTATCTGAATGACTGATTTCCATAGCTACATAATTTTAGTTATATTGAATTATGTATAATCAAAATTAGTGAAACTTGTTGCTACAGAAACAGTAACTAGATATAGTTGAGTACAATAACAATGATATGCAGAAAGCATTATAGATTGTGTGTATGTATGTGATAAAAATAGATTTGCAGCAGAATTCAAGGGGATAAGAAAATTAAAGCTACTAAAATATATATATATGGAAATAACTGGGTTCAGACTGGGAAAGAAGGGAAATGAGGTTAGGATGATGGAAGGGCACAGATACGCCACCAGCAGGTGGTGAGGATACAGATTTCAGTAAAGTTTATCTTGATCTGCATCTTCCTCCCTCCCAAAGGAATTAATGTTTTTATGGAAACAGATGACTGTGGAAAGGAGGCTCAGTGACATCGAGGGTGTCCTAAGCTGTAACCAGGGTGTGAGAAGAGGATTCACAGCCCCACAGAGTGCTATCTTATTGGAAAATAGACACATTTCATGTTTTGCAAAGTTAAACCTCCCAACATTCTCACAATCTATAGGTGTCACTGCCAACGGCATCCACAGAATAGGGATGTTGCATGTTCAAATAGCAGTAAAGGCAGAGAAGCAAAATTGAATTTTGGACCCTGATAATCTTTTGTACTTGAACTAAATCCTGATTCAGTTTAATTTAAGTTCATATAAATTGTGATGAATTTTCAATTATTTTAAAATGAATGAAATTTTTATTTACTTCTTTTTTATTCCCAATTCTTTTCAAGAGTTTTCTCAGACACTACAATGTTATTCTGAGGATTAAAATTAGCTGTTTTATATCAGTACAGGTATTTTACCTTGTTTGTAATGGGCCTTGTGAGAATGGGGTCATAGCTGGCCCTGCAGTATTTATCAACAAGTAGTCAACCACTGTAGTACACTCTCTATCCCTCATATAGACTTTAAATAGCTATAAATTTAAAAAATAAAAAATAAATAGTAAATTATCTTTTCTAAAGTGTCACTGAATGCTCTATTTTTTTCTCATTTTATTTAACTGATATTTTATTATTATTTTAAATATATTTTTATTAATTTTAGAGAGAGGAAGGGAGAGGGATAGACATTAATGATGAGAGACAATCATCCATTGGCTGCCTCCTGCATGCCCCCTACTAGGGATCCAGCCCACAACCCAGGCATGTGCCCTGACTAGGAATTAAACTGTGACCTCCTGGCTCATGAGTTGGCTTTCAACCATGGAGATACACTGGCTGGGCTATTTTATCTACACTAATAAAAGACAAACATGCAAATTGGCCATACCTTCACTATGCCTGAAGCCATGCCCAACAGCCAATCAGAGTGACTATATGCAAATTAACCCAACCAAGAAGGTGGCCAGCAGCCATGGAGCTGGAGCAAGCAGAAGGCTTGGTTGCTCCAATGATGGAGGAAGCCAAGCTTCCCGCCTGCTGCAGCTGGCTCTGAGCTCCACTCAAGGCAACAAAGTTTCAATTATAGAAGATAAATAAACCCCAGATACCTGCTATCAGCAGGCCGTGGCCACGGAGCTGGAGTGGGCAGGAGGCTTGGGTTGCCCCTGGCGATGCAGGAAAACAACCTTCTCACGCGCCCTGGCCAGCTCTGAGCTCCACTCAAGGCTACAAAGTTTCAATTATAGAAGGTAAATAAATCCCAGAATAAAAATGAAAAAAGAAAAAAAGGAGAGGCTGGGAGCTTCCGTCACCAGGGGGCTTATCCAGCCTGAAAATGGCCCTCAGCCCCTCGCCCAGGCTGGCCAGGCACCCCAGTGGGGACACCCACCTTGAAGGGGGTGTGACCAGCCTGCAAACAGCCATCAGCCCCTCACCCAGGCTGGCTAGGCACCCCAGCGGGACCCCCACCCTGATCTGGGACACCCTTCAGGGCAAACCAGCCGGCCCCCACCCGTGCACCAGGCCTCTATCCTATATAATAAAAGGGTAATATGCAAACTGACCCTAACAGCAGAACGACTGGGAATGATTGGTCACTATGACACACACTGACCACCAGGGGGCAGATGCTCAATGCAGGAACTGTCCCCTGGTGGTCAGTGCACTCCCACATGGGGAGCTGTGCTCAGCCACTAGCCATGCTGATGGCTGCCAGCACAGCGGTGGTGGTGGGAGCCTCTCCCGCCTCCTCTGCAGCACTAAGGATGTCCGACTGCAGCTTAGGTCCACTCCCTGCTGGTAAGTGGACATCCCCCGAGGGCTGCTGGGCTGCCAGAGGGATGTCTGACTGCCAGCCTGGGCCTGATCCCCCAAAGAGCAGGCCTAAGCCAGCAGATGGACATCCTCCGAGGGGTCCCAGACTGCAAGAGGGCATAGGCCGGGTTGAGGGAACCTCCCCCCCCCCCCGCCTAAGGGGACAAATTTTTGTGCACCAGGCCTCTAGTTATTAATAAGAGACTTAACATGATAAAGTTTGATGAAAGCTTACTATGTCCTACACTATGATGAATATATGTTTTCTCATTTTATTTTCAGGATGTTTCGATTGATTATTGTATTGTCCCTTTTATTGTTAAAGAAAGGGAGATTCATAGAGGTCAGATAAATTGTTCAAGTGCACACAAATGAAATGACTTCCAATTGAAGTTGTTCCAACCTCAGAATCTGGGTACCTACTCATTGTATTAAAAGTCTTTACCTTAGTGTTAAACAAAGAAGACCCAGTACTTTCCCCAAGGGAAAAACAGATACATTAGAAACGACAACAATCATTATGTAATGCACTGTATACTTATAGATGTAAGCACATTAAGATTTCAGAAGAGAGGGAGTATCAGTGGGGGGCAGAGAAAGCAGAGAACAAAAATATGAGCAAGTGAAGTTTGTATTAGATTGTAATTGAGATACGGAAATTGGATTGTGGAATGGGATGATATACATGAGAAAACCCACAAAGGTGGAAGTCAGGAGGTGGGTATGACTCAGAGTGGGGGACGGGAGGGGGGGCATAGAAAATTATATAAATACAGGAAGAAGTTAAGAGAGGCATGAAGGAAGTGATAGATTTAAAAAAAAAACTTAGAAAATGGACAGTTTTTTTAAGAAATAAGAAGTAGGGAACTATTCAACAATTATGGTCATGCTGGTGACATGATGGAAACCAAAGAATTCTAGGAATGAGAGTCTGTAAGAATGACAGAGATTCAACTCAGGGGGCTGTAGCCACAGTTGGGAGACCCACATAATTAAATGGACTTTCGAAATTCTGGCTAATAGAAACTTGACACATTTCTTAGAAGTACTGTATCCGGGGCTGGAAAAATTACTTCTGTAAAGTTGTAGCCATTTCTGAGCCCAGGCTTATGCCCCTTGGCGCACTGACCATGTAGTACGCCCTGAGCCTAAATGGCAGCCTGGCACAGGTTTTACTGTGGTTGTTTGTGCACAATTACAAATAGAGTAAGGCCTCTCTGTCGCTACCACTGTTTACATTATTCTAGGGCAGAAAAATCAGAAGTTAGTGTCTTAAACATGATTTTGTCTTGGCGAAGGGCTATTCATGCAGTCACATAATCTATGTCACCTTATCACACTGAAACTCAGCAGTCCTTTCCTTCAGTGCCTGGTATTGTCTAGAAATCAGGCTGAAGGATTTAAGACTTGCTGGGGGTAATTCTGTTTGCCCTGTCCTTTTGCATACCTTCACGGGCTTGCATTTAAGAAAGCTTGTCGCCCCACCTTTCTTTTCTAAGATACAGTTCTGAGTGATGGATGAGAAAATGAGTAAAGGGAGGGGTAGAAGCTCACCTTGTCTCCATTCAGCGAGGCTTCAGAATTAAAGCCTTTCGAAAGCATTGCCGAGATGCATAAAAATTCCTGTGTTCTCTGAGTCACATCTCTTTGTTCATTAAATATGAAATCTCTTTGCAAATAGCTTGTTTTACTTTTTAGAAGTGAAATATTTATATTCTAATAAAATGTGGTAACAACAATGGCCATTTAAATGGCTTAGCTCACACAGCCAAGAGAAGAATAAATATTGAACAGTTTCTTTCTTTTTTTTTTCCTTTTTACCCAAATGGTTAAAAAATGGTCACTGGAGGAAATTTGTATTTTGACATTTGCAGTTACTGTCAGGGTTTAATTAATTTTCATTGTGAACTTCCTTTAAAATAAATAACCTTTCCTTGCTCCACTCTGTAGAATGTGCACCTTCTGTGCTGGGGGAATAAAGCCAGGTTCTGTCTTGCCAAAGAATGCAGTGTTCACACAGGGGCTTTTTAAAGTCTTACTCAACTCTGTGGTGTGCAGGTCTTTCCACTTTACCTTCCCCAAACAGAATAAATTATTAATCCAAAAATAAAAAAGCAACCTTATATCTTATGATTTAAGCCATAAAGACAGATAAATTTAATTTTTGTTTTATTTCATAAAGCCATGAATTCTGTTTCTCATTTATATTAAACTAGTAGCCTGGTGCATGAAATCCATGCACATTAAAAGGAAATTAATTGCCCTAACTGGTTTGGCTCAGTGGATAGAGCATTGGCCTGCAGACTCAAGGGTCCCAGGTTCAATTCCAATCAAGGGCATGTACCTTGGTTGTGGGCACATCCCCAGTAGGAGAGGCAGCTGATCGATGTTTCTCTCTCATTGATGTTTCTAACTCTATCCCTCTCCCTTCCTCTCTGTAAAAAA